GAATTCAGAGTGACAAGCCGATCTCTGCCGCTGAGCTGGAAAAAAGAAGACTAGTTATGACTTCCTCTCTGGCAAGAGACCTGGAGGCTATCACTGCTTGGGGGCGCAACAATGTTGTACAGTTCAATGCTTCCAAAACACAGTACCGTACTTTGACGAACAAAAAGCGTCCTAGCGCTCATACAGTTTCGATGGACGGTCGAGTTCTACCAAAGAACCATTCATTTCGGCTAGTCGGAGTCCAGATCACCGAGGAGCTGATCTGGCAGGAACACATCTCGTCAATAGCTGCAGCTGCTGGGAAAAAGCTAGGCTATTTCTTTAGGGCTAAGAAGTACTTTTCTCCGCATGACCTTCTCACTCTATACAAGGCCCAGATAAGGCCTAGCCTCGAGTATTGCTCACACGTTTGGAGTGCTGCGCCCCAACTACATTATCCATGCTCGATGCTGTCCAGAGGAGGGCGGTCCGACTGATCGATGACTCTTCTCTAACAGACAGTCTCGGAACTCTTTCGCACCGGCGGGCTGTCGGCGATCTAGCTCTTTTCTACCGTTACACCAACGGGCTTTGCTCCTCAGAGCTCTCATCCATGATGCCGCCGAGTGATCTCCCTGCCAGACAGGCCCGCCTGACTTTGGCGTCCCATCCGAACCGTGTCGAACTTCGTACATCCAGAACTTTCCGATACGATCGCTCCTTTGTCCCGAGGGTGTCGAGATTGTGGAACAATCTACAAGAGGACGCTTTTCCCAGTTCTATGAACCTTAGGCAGTTCAAAAATCGTATTAACAAAATTTTTTTGGGATCATCGTAGCAGCCGCGGTGTTCTGGCATTTGGGCTTCTGCCTGCGCGGCTGCTTCTATATAGAAAAAAAAGTATCTAGTTATGCCAAACTACCTCTTTGACAATTAGTACTGACAGAGATTTAAGTTATTGCTCATCGGCCAGCCATCAAGGATGATATTTTAAACTAGAAGTATCCATCATTCCCAAGTAACGGTAGTTAGTCTCCTCTCCAATTTATTCGCACGTAAACGCCATACTACAAAACATGTAGTAAATAATCAAGTTATTATTCCCTGGACTATTCGAGAATATGTTATCCTTTACGAAATGATCTATTATAGATGTGAACGATTTTAGACCACCCTGTGTATCATATCACAAATAAATCCCGCCCGAAGCAGACACGCAGTGAAGATATAGTAAGCGCGTGTATATCCAGTGTATTCAAATTAAATCCCCTATGACAGATTTATGGAGCAGTTGTAATAAACCTAATGAAATATAACTCGCAAATATACATATAGTATTTTCACGCTTCCACTACTATGTTGTAGTCTTATGATGTCAAAGCTTCTTTCACTTTTTGCCTGGTTACTCAGTCTCGAAATAGACTTCGTATACATATTTAAGAATGTACGATCGATTCAGTTTTCATCGCTTCATGAAGCAGTACAATACGAGTATACGACCAATAAGTTGAATACATTAGTTTCTAAAAGATCCTTCCCAGACATGCCAAGTCCGTTCCTTTGGTATTTTTTCTATCCTACTTAATTCAGGATCTCAAGATTCGGTGGCAAGTATGTGGAGCTAGTGCAGCCTTCTTAAACCCAGCCAAAGGTCAGGTTGTCATCTTAGTCAAGCTGGAAAGTGGGATTATGTTTTTCTTAGTATGAGCGATTTGATTACTAACTCGTATACACGGTTTCAAGCGCAACACTGTTGAATATCTGGTGTTAATCAAGACGCCAGACGAACTTTGATAAAAATTCCTCCTGCGCCAGTTTTTTGAGTCAAAAACGACTTTCCCAAAATGATATTGTGCCTTGTTTCTTGATAGAATTACTATTCGTCGTTTTTTGTCAGGACGGTGAGGTAGAGCTTTGCTCTTAGTTAAATGTCCCGCCGATATGTCAGCTCTTGTTGAACAATCGCTAGACAAATTCAACGGGCATCGGAAAGAATAAAAGAAACGGAACAAAGGAAGTAATAGAGCAAAGAAACGAAGTAAATCGGATGAAATGAGAACAAACTTAAGTATTATTGTTTCAACTACTCGAATAATTTTTTTATTACAAAAAGTGTAATTTTGATCAGCTTTGTAAAGAAATACTTTTAGATATTCACAATTTAATTTTGATCACAGTTTTACATAATCTCTTAGATACAGGATGTCAAGATATATGTGAATGGTCTCATTTGATTCGTACCATGGGAAGATCGTGATTGTGCGTAGGGTTCTGTTTTGCAAGACTTGCAGTCTCCGCACGTGCGTCTTGGCAAGAAAATATCAAGCCTCGTATGCGTAAGTGATTGCGAGTCTAATGGCCACTTTTTATAACTGAATCTTATTGATCAAACCTAATTTTGAATCCCTGCATAATAAAGTATAAAGTTAGCTAAAATTAATTTGGAATTTTGTTTTTAATCAGTGGGTTTCATCCTGGTCAATCCCTTGTCAATGATGCCTTTAAGGTACCTGAAAGATTTTCCCCATGGTATATAAGTCCGATTCACTGAAATTTCTTTCGAGGGGCTCTGGATCGTATAGAGCAAGACACCTTGTTTCACTAATTTGAGGACCATAAACTGCCAGGGTATAGAGTAATGTTCCGGCAGACGCACTGGCGAGAGCAGGGCCAGAGGTCAGCCTTGTTGGTGCTGGGCAAGCTTAAGAGGAGTTTCCGCGAGAAGAATGAAGAGAATGATAGATCAGTTGATCTCATCAGACACCAGAGCTCATTAAGTGTAGACTTTTTTCCTAGATCTTGATCTGTCCACCCCACGTGTAGACATCAACTACATGTTATGTGATTGACTGAAGATCTCGCTTGTGCAAGCTAGGAAAGGAGTCATCAGCCCAGTGGATTGGAAGTTCTGAGATAACATATAACAGCACTTTCCTCTGTCCCAACGGGTCATAAAAAATATGAACAACGAAGAACAGGGCAATTCAAGAGCACTACTGGGAAGAAACATGTCCCTATAGAAATTTATAATGTGACTGACCCATATGTCACCGCCTGTTGCTTGTTTTATTTGGCGACCAGCAAAGAGAAGGGATTTGTGAGTTGGTTTTTTCTTATTCATTGTGCGTGCAGAATTACAATTACGTAGTGACAATTACAGGGAAACAAGGCAGAGGATAATGCGTACGATTATCATTCAGAAATGCATATGCACGCACAGCCAATGAAATCATTACAAGGTTTTTATGTGCCGTTTTGTTATTGGTTACATGGATGAATGAATGAACGCTATCAATAAATACTTCCTTATTCAAGATTTTTATTTAGTATCAATAGCAGCCAATTAATATATAATTCGCATCATAATTGGCACCCTACCACGCGATGCAACAAAATTTCAGAATGACCTTCTTATCTACCCACAAGAATGAAATTTTGTTGTAATATGCGTCTACCTGATTTTTCATACAACAGAGTTTGTTCGTAGTTAATTAGCCTAGCACAGTGGTCGTCAACCTTTTCAGTGTGTTGAGCAACTTTGATAATTTTGGCATAAACACTGAGCTACCTAGTTGTAAGCAATGTAAACAAACAAAATTTTTCGTTAGCTACAATGCCATGTGAGCTCTAACCTTGTTCACAATTTATACTACCAATTTAGTTTTAGAAAATGTCTACATAATGCTTGCTGATGGATAATGCGGTGGTAACAGAGAAATTGCTGAAAACTTTCATCTTACGGCATAACCCCACGAGATCCTTGTCACGACCCACCATAGCTGTAGAGCCATCGGTTGTCAAGCCTACCATTCTCGATATTGGAATTTTCCCAGGAGAAATAATATTTTCAGAAGAAGAAAACAAGTGCTGCCCAGTAGTCTGTTCTTTTAGTGGAATAAACTTCAGAAGATCTTCTTTAACCGTAAAATCACTGCGGAACACGGCCATCTGAGAGTTGTCAACGACATCTGTGGATGCATCTAGCTGCAGTGAAAACTAAGCACAGTTATCGGAGTCATTTCTTAACTGAAAAACTATATCATTGCTCATTACTTCTACTCGTCGCATCACTGTATTAGCAGAAAGTTGCATAGATTTTATAGCAGACACTATCTCGTCTTTATTTCTAAAGGTGGCAAATAATGAATCTGCAGCTTCTAAAAAAGCCTGTTTTATCATTTCTCCGTCTTCATAAGGTTTCTTCTTTTGTTAAATTATCTGGGACACTCGGTATGACGCTTCAGTTGCAGCCTTACTTTTGTCAATTGTTTTTAAAAACATTGTCTGTTGACCAATTAACTGATTTTTTAACTGTACAGTTTTACAGTGCCTCTCGATATTCCCCTTTTTAGCAACGGAAACAGATGTATTACATAACAAACATACATTTTTGCCTTTAACTTCTTTGGTGTGTAATGGTAATTACAACTGCTCATAATGTTTTTAATTGCAGCCCAACCGCTGGACTTTGTGCCGTTCAGATTTTAACTTAGCACGCTGTCACCGCGCCTTGCGTATTTATTCCGTTCAAAGTAATCGAGATCGTTCTCGAACAGATCGCTCATCGCACTGTTGCCGCTGCTTGTGTTTATTATGAGAATTTACAAAATTTACGGAAGCCTCTTTGATTTTCACACCTTTTTAAAATATGTTGTGAGCCACCAGAATTGCCTTTGCGAGCTACCGGGAGCTCGGGATCGATGGGTTGGCAACCACTGGCCTACAAAGCTCAGTCTCAACCATTTACGTCAAAACCACATTTCCGTCTTTCGACTACAAACAACAATTCTTGGTACATGTAGGGAGGATCACCATACTAGATTAGATACCATGTCGCTTTTAGAGAAGAGGACCAAATATCTTAATTGAGCTTTCAATATGTTTTTTGAAAACACGTATTCGCTGTCTTAATCAAAATGTGAAAATGTCCTATATCAAAAAGGTTGGGAGTCGCTGCTGCATTGTACATGGTCTGCAAGATACTCTGATTAAGAATTATAGACTATTTCGTAATTTTGCAGCTTGCATCAGAGTGAAAGACGACAGAACAGGTGTTATGGAAATCTGTATTGGAGACAATACTAAATCGTAGGAAGTGCATACATACCAGTATAATTTTGATGGTATCGCCGAACCCATCTCGAGTTTTATGACACTCTAAATATTTCTTGGCGGAGCACCCTTTCTCCGAAGAGAACGCTCTCTTGTGAAGTAAAGTCAACAATATTTTATGATACCGCACACTCCTAGTTGATGTTTATTGATAACAGCGTTCCCACTTCGCTTAGTGAAAATAGCCAACCATAAGTTGGTTAAATGGTGTTGAACAAGTCGTTGTTTTAATCCAGAAGTGACAAAAGTCCATGTTGGCGATTTCATGCTCTTTATATTAACCGATAAATTGAAGCACTGTCATTTAATGATAAATTGAGTCGAAGGAATTACGGTAATAACGTCCTTTGGATTAGTAATGAAAAGCAGAAATATTCTATAGATATAAATTATCCTGATTGGAGCTAATTGAGGCCAAGTAAATAGGATAGTTTTCTAGAGCTTATCAATATTAAGTTTGAGTTTTTGTTTGTAAAAAATTGATACGTGTGTACCAAATAATACCCCTATTTCTATGTCGCAGCACTGACGGAGTATGACCAATATAGCTAAAATGTGAAAGCAACGGTCGATACCGTCTTGAATTTAAAGACCCTTGTGTCCCATCTATTTCTATCTTCAATGCAAATTCCACGAGCGACCAGCACAAATGATACACCTTAGCTACGGTAACTTGATACTTTCCGCTGTCGGCAAGGTATAATAATGATAACCGGTCCCCGAGATAACATCTCTGCACGTTTATGTCCATCTAGTTAGTAAAATAGAAATGTAAAATACATAATCTAATAACAGTGTCTGTGTGTGAGAGAGTGTAAGCGCATCAAGATAAAAGTTTGCTGGACCTACCTTTTGCCTGCATACCCATTGGATGGGATCGGCGATATAGACCGAGAGTTTTCATGCAATCTAGATGCTTTTGCCAGAAGGTTCCTGTCGTACTTTCGCAGTCTAAAGTAAAAGAATGTTGTGAAATTTGAGCTAACTCGATACTTCTTAAGCATTAATGTTGAGTCTACTTTCACAATACGCGCACACCAAAATTTGTATAAGCTAGTTACTTTTACAGAGAATATCCCTATTCGAGAAATGATGATTTTATTCATGATTTCTAGAAACAGAAATCGTTTAGATAAAAAGAACTCAAGGTCCATAAAATTTTCAATTTTAAGAAACTTGATTTTTAGATTTCATCATCGAATCTGGTACTTTAAAAACGACAGATAACCTCACGCTCACTTGTCGCTTTGGGGGCTGGACGTCCGTTTGGGAGCGGGAATGCAGGACCATTTAATCTAGTGTCGCAACGCACTTATAAGAATGATGAGAAGAACAAACGGATGAACTATTACCTGGAAAACAGTTAAACAAAATCTACGGTGATTATTGTCTTTTTAATTGAAAAAGGTCTTATAATAAACACGAATTTAAAAATGTCTGCGGTTTGATTCCTCCAGACAATGGAGTTCTACTAAAAGCTATTTTCTTTATACCGAAGCAGCCGCGCAGGCAAGAGCTTAAATGCCGGGACATCGCGGCTGCTATGAGGATCCCAAAGAAAATTTTTTGATCCGATTGTTGAACTGAGTCAGGTTAGTAGAACTGGGAAAAGTTTCCTCTTGGAGATTGTTCGGGATGTACGAAGTTCGACACGGTTAGGAAGGGAGGCCAAAGTCAGGTGGGTATGCCTGGCTAGCACATCGCGTGGCGGCATCATGGAGGTAAACTCTGAGGAGCAAAGCGTTGGTATAGCGGTAGAAGAGAGCTAGATCGTCGATGGGCCGCCGGTGCGAAAGGGTCCCTGTTAGAGAACAGCCATCGATCAGTCAGACAGCCCTCCTCTGGACAGCATCCAGCATAAATAATGTAGTCGATGCGGCGGCACCCCAAACGTGTGAGCAGTACTCGAGGCTGGGTCTTATCTGGACCTTGTATAAGTGAGAAGGTCATGCGGAAAAAAGTACTTCTTAGTCCTAAACAAATAGCCTAGCTTTTTCTCAGCACCTTCCGCTATTGACGAGATGTGTTCGTGCCAGATCAAGTCATCGGTGATCCGGGCTCCGACCAGCCGAAATGAATGACTCTTTGGCAGAACTCGGCCATCAATAGAAAACGGATGAGCGCCAGGGCGCTTTTTGTTCGTCAAGGTGTAGTACTGTATTTTGGTAGCACCGGGACATTCCGCAAGTGGAGTGAGTTTAAGTCAGGAATTCTTAGTACTCGAGGGATCCATCATCATTAATTTCTTTGTTGGAAGAAGATAACCGACTGCGTAACTTAGATGTGGAAGACACATGGGGAGATTTATAAGGCGCCCTGAGAAAAGCTAGCGGGTGGTACTGCCTCGGTCGACTGGACCTTGTCGATCACCTCCTTTCTGCTTATTAATGATGTTAAATAGACCACAAGTGGCACGTTGGCGGACTTGTACCGCTATCCGGCAATCGGTACTGAGGTATTCCTTATCACGTGTACAATCACACAAACGGGAAGAAGGTATAGACTGAATACATCAATTTCCAGAACAAGCATTTGCCACGGCCCGGCTCAGTAGGGTTCAATCAAAAGCACAAATATTTTCAACGTAGATTTGTAATCAATGACGCTACGGTGTCTTATTTCAAGTGGAGTAATTTTTTGGATGCAGGAGTATAGTATTAGGTTAGATGTCTTTCAAGAAAAGTATCTAGAGTATTAAAACCATACTTTTAAGCCTAGGGAGAAACGACAAATATTTAAACGACACACATTTTCCATCATGCGCTAACGATCAGTTTGTCTATAAAAGTAATGCAGTATAGATACGTTTATAATACGGAACAAAAAGAGTGTATGGTATATCTGAAGTCACTTGAAATAGCATAAAAACCTTTGGTCGGCGCGTCCTTTGTAATTTCATGACGTATCATAGGCGTGCGGTGATTTATTTAGAACGATAATAATAATGTTTTTATATCACAATAAATAGATTTTACTATCTTCTCATTTTTTTGATTTGGGATAAAAAATACTTATATTGGGAGTTTAATTTATGTTGACTGAAAGTTAAGAAATGGAAAAATTACAGAATTCCAACGTTTGACATAGGCAAATATTTACATAGCAGGTAGGTATATAAAAAGGTATATAAAGACTTACATTATAGGTATTTATATATCATCCTCGCCTTCGGAGCTGTCGCTAGAGTCATCTTGTAGAGGAATTACAACGGGATTTACAGGAAGCAAAACACAATATTCATTTTCTTTTTCAATAATATGCCTAGAACACTGCTTCCATAGGTCTGTGGCAGCAATATGAGATACTGCATCTCTTATAGTGGCCAATAGCGATTCACTTAATTGAGGGGTCTGATTATGTTTTCTTACTTTTTTTTTTAAAGCAGCCCAGACCAACTCAATCGGGTTAAAAATGCAGTAATAGGGAGGTAGACGTAATACTTCATGGCCATTTTGCTGAAGCAGATTGTCAACAACATACTCTTTTTCAAATTTTCGTCTTTTAATAAGATCCAATAATATGGCTTTGGTTGATTTTTGTGGTATTTCCATTCCCTTATCCTTCATAAAATCAATAATGTCTTGTTTTTTTGTGCCTGTATTCGGAATTTTGTTTTTCTGTCGGGAATGGTATGGCGCATTGTCCATAGTAATCACTGAATTTGGGGAAATGTTTGGTATTAACTGCTGCTCTATCCACTTTTCAAATAAGTCGGAGGTCATGTCCTCATGATAGTCGGCACATGATTCTTTGATATTTTTGGCAGATAACAGCAAGGCATTAGGTATAAATCCATTTTCACTGCCAGCATGGAGAATAATGATTCGTTTTCCACGGTTGCATGGTGCATTTAAAATGCACTTGTTGCTGTCGTCAACCCAGCCGTACTGCACAACATCATGAGTATCATACCACGTTTCATCCAGGTAAATCAGATTTCTTTTCTGCTCTCTATAGATTTTAACTTTGTGCAAAAATTCTTGGCGCAATTCAACGATTCGAGACGACTCCATAATCACCATTCTTTTATCTAATTTTTTGTATTGAAAACCACACAGTTTTACAATACAGTGCAGTGAGTCTAAGCATTTGTAATTATAAAAATCTTCAGGATAATCTTTTAATTTATCCCGTATCATTTCCAACGTGGGCACCAAATTTTCTTTATAAAATCCGTATATTATACGACGAATATCTTCCTGAAAACCCACGTCTATTCTTTTTAATTTTTGCCCTATGCGCTTTCTGTGGAAGGAATGGTTGACTACATCTCCCCTTTTTATAACCCGATAAATAGTAGACCGACTGATTTTTGTCAGGATACACATTCTGTTTAAAATTTGATTTTGCGAGGAATCTGGATTTTCGTTTTTCAAACAATCATACATATTTAGGATTACTCTTTGGGTCTGTTCCTCTAAATCTTTATGAAAGAATTCTGCCTGCACAGGTTCATCAACCATCTCCTTGTGGCTTGGAGCATTTTCCCAAGATCTCCAACGAGCCATATTTAGGACACACAAGAACAATCAACACAACAATTAAATCAACAAGTAAACTGAGTATTCAAAAGTCAAAAACACACAAACTAATAAAATCTATGAAAAAACACGGACAGACTAAAGAAAACACGTTTATTCACCGCTGCACAGCACTGGCTAAACTGTTTCAATTTTCAGTAGCCACCTGCACTTTTTCGGAGCTCTGAAATACACGCTTTCTCATTGGCTATGTCCACGCATAGGCGTGCTTTACTCCACGTGGACCGGTGAAACTGCCTTTGATCTTATACGGGGGATATTTGCTGCGAAATTTGGTGATTTTTGCAGCAACAGAGCGTGTTAAATATAGATATATAAAACGCACCCGGTATTTCACAGTGTTTCAAGTGACTTCAGATAAACTATACATGTGCAACTCAAATATCACATTATGTTACTCATGATATGGTCTTCCGACTAAAGTACTCGTGTTTGTGTT